TACCTCTTTTCTACTTTTCTCTTTATTTGTTGTATAAAAACAAAATACGTACATAAATATTATATATTTTTTCATATATAAGAAAAACCATGCAATATTTGAGCTTGTGTGCTTGACTTATTTCACTTAACATTATGTTCTGAAATTTCATGCATTTACCTACAAATGCCTCGTTTATCTTTTTATGCCAGTGTATTACTACATTGTGTATAAACACCACATTTTCCTTATCCATTTATCTGTTGATGGCTATACATACTGTTTCCAAGATCTAACTATTATAAATTGTGCTGCTGTAAGCACGCATTTGCATATATCCCTATAATGTGATGAATTTTTCAATCTTACAAAATGGGAAATTTAAAGGGAAAGAAGAAAAGTTTTAAGCATGTATCACATATATTTTTATGTAATCTTAGGTAAGGCTGTTACCCCTGCTTTACAAATGAGGCAACTTGATGTTGACAGAAGTTAAATTGGTGTGGCCAATACACAATAAACTGAGGGAAAGGGCTCAAACCCAGGGTTTGGGATTTCAGATGTGATGCTCTTGTAGCAAGGGGCTGTTACTTCCTCCTGGTTCTGTCTCATTCTCTCTGCCCATTTCATTGTTTTAATAAAGTTGCCCCCTGTTTCCCAGGGCAGGTTGCCATTCCCAAGTGTAGTTTCTGGACCTGTCAGAATGGACCACATCAGGCAGCCTTGCTCAGGACCAGTGAAGGTGGCCTGGTCTGTTCTCTTGCTGTCTAACGGGGTCTGGATGTCCAGAGGCCTGGTTACAGAGAGTACCTGGGAGGAAGCTGAGGGTAGAAGGAAGAGTGATGGAGACCAAAAATTCTGTCCTACACCAGAGCCTTGCTGTTTTATTATCTGGCTGCCAGGGTGGAGGATCCCCAAAGCCAGGTAAGTTTGTCAGGCTCACTGCCACATGCTTTGAGCAGCTAGTTGTAGGGGATGAGAATTGGAGTGACTGGGAAGGGGCTTTGACCTCCCACTGAGCACCTTCCTTCTGGAAGGGGCCTCTGTCCCATCAGCCTGCTGCTTCAGCCCTCCATAGAGGTTGTCAGAGGCCTTGTGGCTCCTGGCCTGTATGTTCACCTTTCTTTAATAAAGGGTTTATCATTGACCTTTTGTCCTTTTTTGCAGAAACAGGACACAAAATGTGTGCTTTTCTTGGTTTTTCCATAGTAGACACTTGTGTGAGGAGGCAGAATTTTAATCTCCTCTGCCTGACTTTTTCTGTATGTGCATGCCAATGTTTATACATTTATCATCTCTAGTATCTTGATGAAATGGGTCCATCTCCAGAACCTGCACCAAGAGAGGGACCCTAGAGGTCACTGGCCTGGACCTCTGCTAGTAGGAGAGTGTTCACTGCTGTGTAGTGAGCCTTGGAGTAATATTTTGTAAGATAAAAATGCTTTGCCGTCAAGAGGAAAAAGTTGACATGACTGGTCTATGCCACTGAGGAAGGACTTATGTCCTCTTCTGGAAGAATTCTAGAATTGAAAATTTATGGTTGATAAATTTAGAATTGATAATTTGACAGAGAGGCAGGTCTCAGTGTCAGTAAAGACACTGGTAGTAGGATTTATGCCTGTGAAACTCAGCAAGTGTTCCTAAGCACCCATCCTGCCAAGGCTGGTGCTGGTCTCCATGCTGTACTCCTTGAGGTATGTGTGGGTGGGCAGTGCCATGGCCTCATGGGTCCCTGTGCATAACACTAATCAGAGAGGTGCAGATGGGGCCCAGGGGTTAACACAGAGCAAGTAGACCTGCCTTTGCACGGATTATGATCTATGTAAAGAAGCACTTTGCAGTTTTTAAGATTTTTTTTGGAGGAGCAGTATATGCCACTTTCCTTCCCTGTCTATGATGAGAACAAATTGAGATATAGGAGTTGGGCCAACAGAGTTAAAATAACAATTTCATGACTAATAAAGCTGATCTTGACAATGTCGTTTATATCAGTGGGCAAGTGTCTACAAGTGGACCATACAGTTGAAGAGACTCACCCACCTACCACAGAGAGCACTAGCGAACTGCAGTCTTCTCCTCCCACCAGTCAGCACCCCTGCCCTTTGCTTTCATTCCTGCCATTTGTAGAATGGGGGAGCAGAGCAGAGAAGAACGGAGCTACCCACGTCCAGTTCTTGTGTCCTAAATTACCAAGCCAGGGAAAAGCTACATGAAAATGTTACATTAACAGATGTCTCTTGGGCCGAGGATATAGCTCAGCAGCATAAGTGCCTGCCTGGCAAGTACAGGGTCCTGAGTTCAGTTCCTGGTACCCGAAAAAAAAGATGTCTCTCTCTGCAGGAATGTCACTAGAGCAGGGAAAAAGAGGTTCCTGCCCTCAATAGCTCCAATAATCAGTTCAGGATGAACTCTAAGGCAGTACATGTCAACTCAATGAATTTTGGGTACAATATATATATTTAGATATGGAAAGGAAATGATCAGGGTGCTATATGTTTAGTCAGGGAACATTAGTCTGGGCACAGTTTAGTGGAGACAAACACAGTTTTAACAGATAGACCTATTCAAATGGAGGAGTTTGTGATGAACCTGAACAGGGGAAAACTGAGAAAAGCCTCCTGATATGACTAATATGATTGCTTTGAAGAACTCAGGGGTGTGAGTTGGTATCACCAAACCAGGAGCTGGAATGTGCAGACTTGATGGTGCCGGCCCAGCTGAACAAGCTCCTAGGCATTGGCCCCCCCCTGAGATGGTGCAGTGCAGCGATGGCCAGTGTGCCACAGGGATGAAGAGGGTGGTGCTGGTGCTCCTGAGAGGAGGGTCCCGGCGCTAGGCATGACAAGTGCACCCCCCTCCTCTGATTGACTACTAGTTTGATGAATTAGGAGTGTTTGCTGGCTTCCCTCCGAGAAATAACTGCTTGAACATTTGTTTTTGGAGCAAAAAGAGAATGCTTTTTCTGATTTGCTTGCTTTTTGTCTTACCAGCTAAGATGTAATGTTTTCTTTCTGTTGCTTAATTGATAATGCTTTAAAATCCCACAGATCCTGAGGAGGGAACTGGGAGAAAGTAACAAAGACTTGGCAGAAACAGTGGATATTTCAAAAGTCATATTTTTCTTGATTTTTGAAACGCTATGTAGGATTTTTTTGTGGTGGATTTTTCTTTCAAAACATATTTTTCTTAGGGAGACGTTGTAATCTGTTGGTTGTGTGGAACATCCATAACTGGGAAGCTGAATATTATGCAAAGAGAAATGGAGAGAAGATTAAATTAACTATGGGTGAATATACAGATAATTGAGATTTAAAGAGAATATATTTCCATTTGATCCAATTGCTGCCTGTTTATACACTTTAAGGTTATTTATACTTAAATATGAATAAATAGTAAATCCAGATCTGTAAATTAGTTATATCAAGGCAGATTGGCTAATTGTATTTTCTTTTTTTTTCTGGTACTGGGAATCGAACTCAGGACCTCGAGCTTGCCAGGCAGGCGCTGTGCCACTGAGCTAAATCCCCAGCCCCGCTAATTGTAATTTGATTTATGTTGTGTGTCTGTCCATGTTGTATAATGGTATAAAGTTTGATGTGACTACAAGCAGATGTATCCAGAGCACCCCTGTATTTTTATCTCTGACTCAGTGATTTGTCTGCTGTGTATCTCATAACATAAAATGATCTATGTGAAATGCTGAGCACAGTGCCTAAATACAGAAAACTCTAATACTTAACAACATGGGGAACTAGTTACTGATTTTAATATGAAAGTGGTTATAAAATAGTATGTAATATATTAGCTATGCAAATTGGTTACTCAGGTCTTATATGCCAGGTGTTGTTTTAGGAACTGAGATACAGGAACTAGGTAGGGAAAAATGTATCACGGTTTTGTGTCTCATTTAATGTGTGTCACAGAACAGATTAATACTTCTCACTGTGGTGTATCCTATGGACAGAAAACCATGTTAGGGGGCAGAGAATAACTGTGTAGCTATTTGACCACAGACATCTGTGAGTCATTTGACTCTCTCTAAGAACTCAAATAAGTTCTGCCCACTTTCTTCTGCAGCTGAGGACAGCGCTTAGGCAGAACTTGTTCATCCTCATTTAAGCTCAGGAACTAGGATTGCAGTTGAAATGTTTTCTGTGCTTCCTCAGACACTAAAGTGAGCACAGCCCAACCTAGGGTCCTCCCTGTCTGGGGAGCCTTTGCTGGGGAAATCACTGTGGCAATCCTTTATTTTTTCAATGTTTTGTCATGTTTGTTGTACTGGACATTTTGCATTTTTATTTTGGGGAGAAGGACTTGGAAATACAGTTTCTGGCTCATGCTTGATCGAGCATTTGAACAAGTGCATGGGTCCACCAACCAGACTTTGACACTGGGGCCCTTTGGCATAGATAGCACTTGCAGTTTGAGTTTACATGGTCTGTTAGCCATGGTTGGCAGTGAGGCTTTTGGCCCACCTTTTTTTTGCACCTCAAAGTATCATTTTTTATTATCATCTAAAAATTGTCATCTATTCACTTTCATTTAAAAATTATACAGTTTTGTAGGCGGTCTTATCAAGATTTCTTCCATTTTCTGATTGATTAAATAGTGTTCCTTGTTTCAAATTTTAATCAAGGCGTTGTTTACAAATAAAAATCCTTAAGAGTGATAATTGTTGGCCCATATTCATTACTGTCCACATGTGATCTAAAGTAAGTCTTTGGTCTTGATACTTGAATATCTTTCAGAAGATCAGGTAGGATTTTCAACCTATTTCCTAACTCTTGTTTTACAAGGGTTAAGGATCTGCATTTACAAAATTACTTCCTCATGGAGTAGTTACTGTAAAAGTTTTTGTTCCAGCAAGAACAAAATTAATGGTTTAATATGTTGGCACTTGAAGGAATGAGACCTTTTTAAAAATGAATTAATATTTTTACCTATTCATTCCCAAGCCTTTACTTCCATAGGCCCTCAGATAAGGAAAAAGTAACTAACCAACCTTTCACTATTCTTTTCAGGGACACCTGTGTGGTTCTTTGTGAAAATTGCTCCAATTCGAAATGAACAGGATAAAGTGGTTTTATTTCTCTGCACTTTCAGTGATATAACTGCTTTCAAACAGCCAATTGAAGATGATTCATGTAAAGGTTTGTAATTCTGATTTGTATAGTGCATTTATACTTCTTTTTCTGCTGTGAGTGTTGCTTTTGCTACAGAAAATTTGAGGTTGCTAAGGCAATCTTTGTACAAAGATCAAGATTTAAATTTTAATTTGGGTTGGGTAAAGTACTGTGTCGTTCTGGAATGTATTAGGGGAAGAGAGAGAGAAAAATTTTGTTTCACAAAGCATTTAGTCAAACATTTTTTTAAATTAACCTTTTCCAACTATGGCTAGACAGAAGAAAGCAGCTAGACAAATCTGATATCATCTCAATCTTCTCAGATTTTTACATGACAAATGTTAGTCATCCAAGTGGGGCAGTATTAGGCCGTATTCATCTGATTTCTGTACAAACTTCCTTAGATTTAACTGACTTCTAGTGCTTGAAGATGGCATAGCAGATGTTAGCAATCTTTACCTCTGTGGTTTATTGAATTAGTGCTATGGCTGGTTAATTCATTTTGGCATGGCTTTAGTGATGCCAGGGCCTTGCAGAATATCTCCATAAGGGTCCTTTACTCAGCTTTGTGATAGCAGATTTTAGTCATATTATCCTCATGTATTGTTTGAGTAACATTGGAGTCCTCAGAAAGGAGATGGCAGGATACCTGGGACAGCTTTACCCCTGAAGAGGTCCGGCTCAGGAGCTGTACAAAGGACAGGCTACGCTGTTCCCAGAGGGCTGGAGTCAAGAGGGTTTAGCGTCCCTCTCCAACCTTGCACTCAAAATCACCAAGAGCCGTTTCATGTTGCAAGGCTCCCAGCTCTATGGTTGACTTCCCAGATCTACCCAAGAAATCTGTTCCTGTAGTTTCTGAGATGCACCAGTGAGATGAGCGTAGAGGCCAGGGGATAATCACTTATATCAGGCATGTTTTTCTGGATGTGAAAAAAGTTTGATTGCTAAATGGACATTAAAAGAGGAAAAGAGGAAATAAAAAGCTTTGTGTAGGTGATGTCTCAGGGCCTGTGGCCTCTGAGAGTGTGTAAGCCCATACACACTGCACCTGTATACCAGTGTACCATTTAAAAAAACTGTCCAATATCTCAATAAATAAATTTCAGCCTACTTTTGGTGTCAAGACTATGGACGGTGCAAAGTCTCTCAACCCATCTCTGTCTTTGAACCCCTCCTTTTCTTGCATGTCTGTGACTGTGTGATTTCTAGTTTCTGATTTGAAGATTCTCAGTGTAGTGGGTGTTATGTGGCGGGAGACTTGCTCTCATCATGTACTGTGGAGAAAAGCTATTCGCGCTGTTAACCTAATTCATAAGTAATATTTTAAAGATATTGTGATATTTATTTTTGTACATTTTGTCTTAAAAATTTCAAATAGGTGATTTGGCTAATTCAAAAAGTTTTCTTTTTACTACTGCTGGAACATGCTAGCTAATATGTTGGTAGGAAAGTCTTATCTTACAGAGGATGCTCCTCACTGCCACATAAATGTCTGTGATTCTCATGGAACTTGAGAAGAGATAAATTGGAGTGACATAATAAAACTCACTTAGGCTTATTTTCCAGAAAGAATGTGCTCCACCTAATTAAATGGTGCATTAAATGGTGCATTAAAACCAATGGTGCATTTTGTTGCTGATGAAATCTTTGGCACAGACTCATACATGCACGTACACACACACACACACACACACACACACACACACACACACATATGCACACACACCACTCCCTATTAACCAAGGTATTGTTTTGGTCAGTTGTTAATTGTTTTTGTCAGTGAGATAATGTAAGGCCTGGCATGGTGGTGTACACCTGCGATCCCAGTGCTCAGAGGTTGAGTCAGGAGGATCACCTTGAATTCAAGGCCAGCCTGGGCTCCATAGTTAGTTTGAGGCTGGTGGGACTGCATAGTAAAACCCTTTCTCAAAAAAAAACCAAAAAGAAAAAATGAAAGAAATAAAAAATATGAGTAACATGTGACTTCAGTTGTAAAGCATTTAGAAAGCGCCCCCCTCCCCTGCCACACCAACCTTCAATGTGGAAATCCTTCTAGTAGATCACACTTAATCTCAGATCTGTCCATGCTGTCCCACTCATCATGTCACTCTGCCCCTGGCCCACTTTGATTTGTTGGTCTGCTTAGGACAAGTCAGATTTTATTTTAGTCTGTTTGTGATGGAAGAACATGATAATTCCACAGGCCTTGTTAGCTCTGAGCCTATAAACTTCAGTTCTGGCTACAAGTGTCAAATCTAGATGAAAAGTATGCTGCCATGCAGTGGGGTTGTTCTGGCTTGCCCTTGCTTCTTGGATGTGCTCTTAGTAGTTCATTTCTAGCTGACCCAGCTGGGTTTTCAGCACAGCACCTCAGGCAGCATTAAGAGTCTTAAGAGTCTTGCTGACCCAGGCTCATTTAGGGTTCACTTTGGAGATGCCATGGAAAGGTGGATAATCTAAAACCCTAGGAAATTCCCAAGTAATTGCTTTCTGGCATAGTCACAAGAGATGCTTTTCCACCATCAGATTAGTCTTTTAAATCAGTTGTCCTTTAAAATTACTTTGTTTTTTTCTCTTCTTATAATACCTCACTTGGGGGCTGAGGGGTAGGGTGTGTGTATTTGACAGTTTCACAAGATGCCAGTTTGAGCCAAGCATTTTCCCGAAAACACCCCTAACGGGGTGAATGCGTGGGACAGTTGAGAGTAGGCTGTTTAGTGCCTGACACAGTCACCCCTCTACACGGGGCCTCAGGTGCTGGCAACAGGTGCTGGTGATGTGCCTTGGGCCCACTTCACTGGGAGGTCTGTCATTCGCAGTCTTCCCAAGAGCTCCCCAGCCTCTGACTTCCTCACCTGCACTCTGCTACTTTTAAAAACACAATGTGGGTGGCCTCATTCCCCTATGACAGTGTGCACAGACGGCCTGGGACAGGGAAGCCAGGCGAGGGCTGCTGCTCGGTAACAGGTGGGACTTTGTGGCTGAAATGACTGTGTCATGCTCCAGGAATTTGACTTGCTCCTCATGTCCTGCTTCTTTTTTAATATGTATTACTGGGAGTGGGCTGCAGGGAGGTTTTGCTGCAGGGAAGTTTTCTCTTCCATTCTCTCTTGGGAGCTGCAGGCTCGGGGAGTTGGGTAGAGGAGAACTGAAGTGTAAGGCTCTGAGTTCTCCCTCTGTGTTGCTTACCAAAGGATGAGTCGCCTCTCATGTCTCTCTCATCTCACTAAATAATCTCACATTAAAGGAATACATTCATTTTCAAAGATCTGAGAGTTTACTTCTACATTCAGAACTTAAATTTGAGCCAAATGCAGATAACTAAAGGAATGGAGGACTCCAGAGGAAATTTTTAAGGGCCAGAGACTTAGAACACTTGAGAAAATAGACCCTGGTAAGCTATTGTGGTTGCTAGTGCCTTCTCCATGTCTTCCTGTGATATATTTATGAGGCATTCAAAGGAAAGATAGAATAATAGACACAAATTACAGCTGCTCCCCCTCCAATATTAACATTGTCTCTCTCTGCCTTTAGGATGACAGAAAGGTAATGAGTTAGTGTCTGCTCCTTGAAATCATCCTAGTTTTGCAGATTGATAGGGACAAGATGGTGGAGAGGGACTTGAGGATGCTTAAGCAGGGGCTCATGCTGACCACCCATGGGGTGCCATGTACCCACTGTTCTTTTCTGGATGTTGGTTAGAGCATCAGTTCCACCAGTATAGTCTATGGCTTAGTATCTGAGAACCAGTCAGCCTTTGTCTCTCCTGGTGTGCTCAAACATCCTCAGAGGAGCTGGAATTCTTTCTCATCCCAGAATAATCTCTTCTGGCCTAGAGCAGATAGAAGGCTTGTGGAAAAAGAGGCCTAGTGGTTGGCGCATCCAGGTTGAACCCCAGCAGCCACTGTGAAGTCAGGTAAGGGAGGCAGTGCACCTCCTGGGAGGGGAGAAAGGACTCTCGCTGATCACTAGACTGCGTGCTGTGCTGCTTCTCTCCCTTCCACCTTCCTTGTCCCTTCCTGCTTACCCTCTCTCATTTTTCTCAATCATGTGATGCCTTCCATCTCTCCATGGGCCCACAATCCTACCTGTGACCAACTTGCTGATAACATTTGATGCCCGGAAGAACCCTGGGCTAGGAGTTTCTTCGCTTGAGTTCAGTTTGATATTGAATTTACAAATGGGATATAATTAGAGGAGTGGGTGCAGAAATGCCTGCAAAAGGGATGCACAGAAATACCTCATACTAGTTGGTGAAATGGGCTGGCTATCCTTTGGATTTGTATCTTTCGGAGGCCCACACAAACTAGGTCAATGAGAGGGGAAAATATTGTTCTACATTTTTTATTCAGTACACACTTTGAGTATCTTTTGGGTGTCAGGCAGTGGATGTAAGGAAATGCTAAGATAGAGCCCCTGTCCGTTAGACAGGAGGTGGGTAGCCAGGTAAACTAATAAAGCTAACCAGTGATCTAATAGAAGTCTGTCTGAGGTAAGTGTGGCTATCTGCAGGGACTGGGCAGTTCTGCTGTGGGTGGGGAGTACCTGGGAATGGCTTTCTTGGAGGAGGAGGGTACATCAGCTGCCTTATTTTCTTTGTGGAGCATGACTGTCTGGCTGCCTTTCAGTGAGGTCAGTGAGCAAGGTTCCCATTGGGTTGTCACCTCCCAACTGGACAATAAGAGACTAATATTTTGGTATCAGTGATTTTACCTGTGGCTCTGCTGTGAAGGATATCTTGGCCCAATTTGTACATATTGTCTTCTCTTGTGTTTTTAGTGTCATTGAGTGACTGTCCCCCCAGTCACCTAAACTTGAAATTCTGGATTGGCGCTTCTTTTTTGCATCTAATGTTTATCAAGTTCTGCTGACTCTGCTTCCGTTGCTGCCCCTGTGTGCCCTTGTTCCCTCGTCCCCTGACCAGGCCACTGTATGGACCAGGCCTGCATGGTCTCTTGTTTGGAGTCCTGACTCTCTTTTGTCAGCTTTTTAAATTTCTAGTCCATTATCCATATTTGGCTCTGTCCTTCTGAAATGCATGTCAGTTAATGTAACCCTCTCTCCCGTGTATTTAAACTCCTCCAGTGGTTCCCCACGGGCTTCAGGATGAAGTTCAGAGTTTTAAACTTACCTTTTAGGTTCTTACTGCCTTGGTTCTTCCTGTCTTGGCCCCTGATGTCCTTGTTAGTATCACTTCAGGCCACACTGTGCAACCTCCTATGTCCTATAAGCCGTGACCTTTCATGCAGCTGTTTAGAATGTCTTGCTCTTCACTGGCATATTGCCCTGTTGTTATTATTATTTTGCCTTTGTATTTTGTCCATTCTGCGTGGAACCTTTTCTTTTGCAATACACCTAGCTCCTATGCATCTTTAAAAGTTTTGCTCTCGTCTCCTCTCACAAAAATCCTTCCCTGGCTGCTCAGCCTGGATTATACATGCCTTCCCTGGACAATCTTGGCTATAGTATTCTGCCTTTGTCTCTGTCTTTGAACTTCAATGATTTGTCAGTCTTCCCTACTAGACATCACACTCTCTGAGGCCAGAGTCTGTGTCATCTTCATTTGGTATCTCCAGTTGCTTAGTGCTGTGCCTGGTACCTAGTAGTTACATTTTTAGAATCAACACATGTATGAAGGACTCTCTTCTTTCGTGGGTCCATAGTCTGGAAGGAATGAGATGGCTTAGGAACCTGGGAGAGAAATTCTTTTCTGCTTGTCTTAAGTAGAGCGTTACGAGGAAATTTCACACTGCCTGCCCATTTCCCTTCCACCATGCACTTACCTTACCAAATTCTCTGCTCAGCCTGCTGAGAGCCACTTCCTTCAAGAGCTACAGTCTTAGAAAACCAGGGTAGGCCAGAGAGCAGGGGGCTGGGCTGAGCCCAGAGAAATGCTCAGTGGTCCAGAACCCCCTGAGCTCCCTGTTCTGGGCATCTGCCCTGCCTTCCCCTTCTCATCATCGTTCCCACAGTGGAGGCTGCAGTGATGGTAATGGTGGTGCTGGGGTAGGGACAGAGACCTTGCTGATGTTTGCAGGTACAGCTGTTTTCTAACTGATTAAAAATACACTGTTTGTTCTTGAGAATCTTTGCTAAATTCAGTTCCAGCTTTGTTTTGACTTCAAGGAGAGCCTGACTCTGAAAGTGGTTAATAAAAAATCTAGCCCATGGTTCTTATAAGCACAGTTCAGTGAGAGTGCTCATAAATGGTGCGTGTGGGGGAGCTGTCAAAGACCCTGTGGAGTCTGGGCTGTCCCCTCCTGTTCACATTAATGGGGCTTTCACAGCCTAGGTGCTGTATGTCTCCTTCCAAAGTGCCTTTCAGGCCTGCATCTCTGCTGCATGGCATGAAGGTAGATGAAAGTGCCACTAGCTTTAAAAAAAGGCAGCACTTCTGGAATGAGATTTTGTTCTTAAAGCTAATTTGGTGATCTTGTTATATTGGCCAAATTTTATCTAGATTGTGATTCTTAAAAAGGCCATTCTCCGTCAATCTATTGTCCTTTGGATTCTAAGGTTAAAATGTAGAAGATGAGATATTTGCTGGAAGATACTGAATGTTGGAATCTCCAAAGGATAACAAATGAAATTGCTGCCATGTGAAAATAGCTTCATGCTCTGTTTACTTGCCACCCACCCCCAACCCCCATGTTTGGAGCTCTTGAAACCCAAGCCTGGCCTTGAGAACTCTGACAGCTTTTCTGGGTCTTACAGGGCAGCAGCCATGCTCCTAACTTTCATGCAGATGAGGGATTAGCTGTCGGCATGGGCAGTTGTCTTTGGGGCCCTTAAGAGCAGCACAGAACCTCAGACTCCTTAGGTTTTTAAACAAGATCTGTTACCAGCCATCCTTCTTCCTTCTCCAAGCAGACTATAATCAGCCAGTGCCTTTTCCTCATCTACCCAGGATCTGAATTCATCTTTTGTCCATTTAAATGCTAAACTGGCTCTTTCACCAAGAGCACTGGAAACAGCCTGAGGCAAGTCCGTAAGTTAGAGAAACATCTCAGTTCTCTGGTATGGGCTGCTAGAAAAGCCTTGGCGCAGAGTGGAGAGAGCTGGACTCTAGATTCTTTCTCACTGTCTCGGTGCTCTGTGCGTCAGTTTCCCCATTTATACAGAGGTACTAAACTTGCCCTACCTACTTCTCAAAGCTGTGATTAGGAGGAAGTGGAAGTGGATGGGAAAAATAAATTGCTACACAAATTTGGGTAAGTCAAGGTGCTTTTCTGAGCAGTGAGTCTTGCTGGGAGTGTTTGCAGGTGACTTAGGAGAGCTTTTGGGGAAGCAGGGCATGTGTGTTTCTGATGGCAGGACTGTCGGTGTGGCTGTACCTGCTGCGTTGGGATGTGGTTGACCCTGTGTTTTGCTCTTTCACACGCTTCAGGCTGGGGAAAGTTTGCTCGACTGACCAGAGCACTGACGAGCAGCAGGGGTGTTTTGCAGCAGCTGGCTCCCAGCGTGCAGAAGGGTGAGAATGTCCACAAGCACTCCCGCCTGGCAGAGGTAAGGCAGCAGTGGAGCTCATCTCAAGGGGCGCTGCTCAGGGGTGCATGGGATAGCAAAAATGGCACAGAGCTGGAGTGCTGGCTTGCAAGGGGCTCGTCGGACCCCTAGACTCTTATCTTGGCTGGGCTACACGATTTGTAACTTTATTTTTTTTTTTTTTCTCCGGTACCGGGAACCGAACTCATGACCTTGCGCTTGCCAGGCAGGTGCTTTTGCCGCTGAGCTAAATCCCCAGCCCTACGATTTGTAACTTTAGATAAGGGACACTTTCTTACTTTGTACTTTCACATATATAAAAGAGACGTACATAATAGAGAAAGCTCTATTCCAACTTGCACTGGATGAGAGGTGCCACTTCACTTTTGAAGGGCATAAGAAGGGAGCTAGAAGTTCTTCCTATACTGCACATGAAGGAGTTTTTTACTTACAAATCATAAGCATTTCTGTTACTTGAGCAATACACACTATTACAGGAAAATAAGATACAGGAATTGAAAAGAAGAAAATCAAAATTACCTGTAACCCCATTGATCACACAGACTTGTTACATTTTTTTGTATATTTAACTCTTTTTGTTGCATTTGTTCTTTTTCCCAAAGACTGTTTTTGACACATTAAAAAATGTTGGTTTTTAAGATGCAGCTAAGAATTGATGTGCACAGTGAATGAGGTTGTGTTGTGTTCTGTTCATCTTATGGAATTATGAACCTCTTTCCAGATAAATATGCTTAAAATTATTGATATTTTCATAACCTTTGTAGTTAGGAAATTTAAGGTGGTGGTGGTGGTATTGTCCCTCTTCCTGCTAATGAGGAGGTGTTTTATCAGGCCTGATACATCTAGATCACTATGATCTGGCACTGGTGGTGCCTAGTCTAGTCTACATTTTTTCAATGATTCCTAAGTGGGATTAGTTGGGGACGTTAAACCCTCCACACAGCAAACCTCCTTCTTGAATATGACAGCATGAGCTGTCTCTGCTTGGATGTAGCTGTCATCCTCAGTCCTTCGTTGGACAGTGGGATCCTTTCCTGGCTCCCATTTTGGTAAGTGAGAAATCCCTGGCATAAAGCAGCAACAGCAGGTGTTTCGCACATGTGTGGTGAATATTGACTGAGTTAAGTATATAACATCTATACGAGCAGCAGCCAGGAGCTTTTGCCTACAGTGGGTACGGGGAGCATTCATTTATACCATGTTAGAGAAGGAGGGACATTTGGATGATGGCAACCTCATTATCGTTTTTTGTCATGCTGTCGGTTTGACTTCAGATAGAAAGAATGTATAGGCTTCAAGTACAAGCCTATACATCCCCTGCTTTTATCTGTGGCTAATAAAGTAGCCTTCTTTTCTGCTTCTGTTTTATTTTCTCTCATCCAGCCACAGTGGCCTCCTTGCTGTTCCTTGTATGTATATAGTAGGCTTGTTCTTCTCATAACATACTTGTGTGACAACTCCTTTATTGCAAAGCATTGCCTAAATGTCACTTTCTCTATGCATGTAACTACCTGTAGTAGTTAGGATTCTGTCAGAGAAGCATAGCCAGTAGGATATTTATATAGAAAGAGATTTGTTGCAAAGAACTGGCTTATGTGATTATGGGATTGGCTACATAAGTCTGAAATTCACAGAGCAGGTCAGCAGACTGGAAACTCTTGGGAGATGCTGAAGCTGAAATCCAGAGGTGAATTCCTTTTACCTCAACAAAACCTCAGTTCTGCTTTTATAGCCTTTCACCTGATTGGACAAGGTCCACTCAGATTATACAAAATATTCTTGTTTCCTTGACAGTCAACTGATTTTAGATGTTAATCACATCTACAAATTATCTCTGTGTGAACTTACTTGATAACTCATTACCAACTTGGCCTAGCCAAGCTGACACAAAAAACCACTACAGTTCACTCCTTGTTAACTTGGCACCTATATTTCTTTAAACTGTACTATCCAGTTAAAAACAACAAAGTAATACCTGGTGCCTTAATCATACAGTTATCTTACCGTGGAAAATGTGGCAATCTTTTCCCTCATTGACCACTCTTTTCCCTACCCTGGAACGTAGATGCTGTGGTGTAGATGGCCTGTTATCAGTGCATCTTGTGTTGTATGATTAGGGGATTAAAAAGGGAAGAAAGTAATGATATAATAAACCAAGGAAAAAATATAACTCACAGTCCTCTTCTCACTCTGCTCTATGTCATTTTCCACTGAGTATGATCTAATGTACTGCGCAGTTTATTCTGTTCGGTGTTCACTGATAAATCCCAAACACACCGAACAATGTCTGGCAAATAGTAAGTACTCCGGAGTGTTTATTTTTTTTAACTCATTGAAAGGAAGGAGGGAAATGATATTATTTTTTTTGTTTACCTGTCTGGCTTAAGTAATTGCTCATTGATTTCAATATAAAGCAAAAATTTGAGTCTCAACCCAGGGTTAAGCTTTATTTAGCCTGGCCAAGGCTTATTGATTTTATTGATCTTTTCAGAGAACTAGCTTTTGCTTTTGTTAATTTGCTGTTTTTGATTTCATTGTTTGCTGTAATTTTTGTTATTTATTTTAGTCTGTTTACTTTAGATTCATCTATTCTTCATTTTCTAATTTCTTAGAGCAGAAGCCTGAAGGCAGAAGATTATTGCTTTCTGATTTTTATTCTTTCAGTACTAGAAAGAATGATAAGGGGATTAGTGCTAGAAATTGCCCTTTAGGCACTGCTTTTACTGCATTTCACACATTTTGAAAAGTTGTATTTTTCTTTTTCATTTAGTTAAATATGTTTTATTTTTTCTCAAAATTTCTTCTTTGGCCTATGTGTTTAGAAATGTGTTGTTTAATCCTCAAGTATTTTTGGATTTTTTAGCTATTTTTTCTAATTGATTTAATCCATTGTGATCTGAGAGCAAACACTACGAATTTTATTCTTTTCTTTTTTTAAAACTGGTACTAATAATTGTACTCAGGGCCTTTACTTTAGATTCATCTTTACATCCCCAGCTCTTTATCTTTTTATTTTGAGACAGGATCTGCCTAAATTTCTAAACTGCCCAAGCTGGGCTTGAATTTGTAATTCTCCTGCTTCACTCCCAGAGTGCTGGGGTTACAGGTGCATGCCACTATGCCAAACTAATTTTTATTCTTTTGCTAAGATATTGTGTTTTATGGAGGTGTAGGTAATGATGCCGAGCAAACTGCTCATGTCATGGCCAGGAAGTAAAAGAGAAAGAAAGGGCTGGGGTCTCACAGTTGTCTTCAAGGCCATATCCCAGTGACTTGCAGAAGTCCCACTAGGCCCCAGTCTTCAAGATTCCACCACCTTCCAGTAGTGCCAAGCTGGGACTGACCCTTTAATATACAGTCTTTGGGGGTGCATTTTAGAGCCAAATTATAGCAGCTGTTGGATGAAGTAATGTACGTATGTTCAGATATCCAGTTGATTGATGGTGCTACTGAGTTTAGCAGTGTTTTTACTTATGTTCTACCTGCTGGATCTGTCCATTTCTGATAGAGGGGTGTTGAAGTCTTCAGCTGTAATAGTGAATTTTTCTATTTCTCCTTGCAATTTTTTTCCTCACATATTTTGGTGATCAGTTGTTGGGTGCCTGCACATTAAGTATTGTTATGTTTTCGGTATGGCTTGTATCTGAATGCCCCCACCAAAGCCTCATATGCTCATAGGTGGGGCTTTTGGAGCTGGCTAGATCTAGGGTGTATCAATGTGGATTAAGGGTGCATTGTAATAAATTAGTCCACTGATTGGAATTAGCATAGCTCTGGATGTGGCTGACTGGATTTACTGAAAACAGAAGTCCTATGCTGAGTGTGGGTGGCACCACCCAAAAGGTTTGTATCCTGTTGGGATAAAAGGAGAAGGCAGACTTGCTTCTGCTGCTGCTTGCTGCTTCACTGCCTCCTGCCTGATTTACCATGGGCTATTTTTCCCTGCAATGCCCCTCTGCCATGCTATCCTGCACTGGAGCCAGCAAACTATGGACTGCAACCTCTCTAGACTGTGAGCTGACATAGCCTTTTTTCCTTTAACTTTGGTGTCAGGTATTTTGTCTCAGCAATGAAAAAAGTAACTTAGACAGACTTCTTGGACAATAGGCCTTCTTATTATGGTAACTCTCTTCTTTACCCTTGATAAATTTGCTTGCTGAGTCTGTTGGAAATTAATATGGCTATTCTTGCTTTCTTTTATTAGTGTTAGCATGATGTCTTTCTTCATCCCTTTACTCTTTAATCTATATACAGTATGTCTTCGTACTTACAGTGGGTTTCTTGGTGTTTGTTCCATTTTGTTATCCTCTCTTTTTATGCCTTTTTGGTTTAAGCATTTTTATGTCTCAATTTTTTCCTTACCATGCCAATTCTTCTCCTTCCTCCCTCCCTCTTTCTCTTTGTCCTTTTTCTTTACCTCCTGCTTTAGTAGGTGCCCGAGAGTTTGCAATGTATGCTTACAGGTGATCCAGATTCACATTCCACTGTACTGCTTTGTGGGTACTACAAGTATTTTATAATAATAAAATATTCCTGCATTATATTTCTTATAATACTGCTTTTGTTCATTTATACATAAATATATATATGTAAACATCAAATGCATTATTATTACTATTTTAATCAAACTGTTTTATGTTAGATCACTTAAGAATAAGAAAAATCAGAATTGTTTTACCTTTACTTATTCTTTCTATGATTATGCAACTGAGTGTCTAAGAACTTCTTTAGACATTTCTGGCAAGGCAGGTGCACTGGCCGTGAGTTTATTCAGCTTTAGATTGTTTGAGGAAGTCTTACTCTCCTTCACCTTTAGAGGATGATTTTACAGTGTGCAGAAGCTATGTTGAGAGCCCCCTTCACCCACATCTCAACACTTAAAACTTCATTTCTTTTTTTTATTTTAAAAATTAAAAAAACTGACAAAACAACAATGAAGACAAAATCAAAACAACACAAAACAACAAAAATGATACATGACCTCAAGACAAAGTGATACA